CAACACCAAACCACATGGACCAAAGTCTCGGGAGAAAACCAGACGTCCTTGTATTTGGTTTGAGTTTGAAGGAAAGCCCGACCAAAAGGAAAGCACTTGCCCCAATCTGGGCACCAACAAATAGAGGTTCAGATTCTAACCACATTTAGCCAACCCTGAAATATCCAGCCTTCAAAAGCGCACGTTGGAGCATGAAAAAAACATGCAATCCATAATCCATAATCCATAATCCGCCAACCGCATAATCTAATCCGTAAAACAAATCATCTGCAATCCGCAAAGAATTTGGGGACTAACATTGACAAAAGCTAGGAATAACATATAAAATAACGTTGGGGGAGTCGCCTGGGGGGTATCCCCAGAAAATTCCTAGCCCTTACTGCTCAACTCGACCTGAAAACTCTCCTTGTGTGGGTCATGGGTATTTCACTTCCTGAGTAGATCAAAACAAGTCCAAACTTCTTGTTTGCCACTTAAGTGGTTCCATCCTCTGACCTTTCTTAGATCTTTCGCGAGTTCCCGCATGTCTCTCCCAGCCTCCATTTGCTTAAGTCGCCTGCAACAACATTTATAAAATCCCTTGAGAACCAAGAGCGGAGCATATGTGCGCTATGTTTGTTATATATATTTACATGTATATGGTACCCCCCCCCCATGGACCCTGGTTTGGCGCGTTGGACCTGAATGTTTCCAGCGTTTTTTGTTTGTTTTGCTTCTTGGATGTTGTGTCAAAATTAGGGGTGCCATATGTATATATGATTGCATCTCCTCGGAGAGGCGAGTAGAAAACCATCCTTAGCGCTTCCAGTCACTAGGAATTGAGTACCAAGAAAATCCATCTCAAACTTAGAGATGATTCCTGAAGGGTTACCTACTATGGAAGTACTTGTTCAGCATAAAATGGAAGCAATTTGCCTCAAACCGGGAAGATTTCAACCGAATCCATGGCTGGGACGTGGTGTTTGGTGTGCTGCTTTTTATTGTTCCGGAAGAGGCGCCATCTTATTGCCCACGCTGTCCAGGTCTTTCACAGCCACCACAGGGTCCACCACATCGACAGCCTGTTACCGCCGCAAACCATGGGAATCCGGTTGGCTGAAAACTGGATTCGAAACGGAGAAACGGACATTGAGGTCAAATCCACGCAATCCTCTTTCAAATGGGTGGGGTCCACTTTGTCAAGAGAACATGCAAATACATCAAAAACGAATCCAACCTGGGATTCAAGTGCAATTTAAAGGCCCGGAGGGCCCCTTCACACAAGTCCATTTGCAACTCTTGTTCAAAAACACATATATGGATCTAAAAGACCCAAGCTCAAATTTGTCCACGCCCCATTTCTTCCCATCTCTCTCGGTTCCGATTCCAAGCCAGTGGAAAAGCCATTGCACACCTATAAGTCTGACCTCTTCAGATGAGGGGTTCCCGTTGAGACTTTGAGGAAGAGTTGTTGGTTGATTGTTCAATTTGAGCCTTCTCACCTTGTTCAACCCAGGGGTTTATCCAAGCATATTAAGATGTGCATGCCTTACACAATAGTCCTTCACCGCACCACCCTAAAAGAAAGGCCTTCAAGGAATAGTCTGTCATGAGGGCGGTTTCTCCGCAACAGCAAACAACATGAACGACTTCACCTAGAATCATGGCAGTGAACAGGTGCTGCCTGCAAGAAATGATACTCTGCTGAACCAACGTGTTGAAACTCTCAGTGAGACCTAGCAACAAACACAACATTAAAGTGCCACCTCAAGAAGCAAGTACGCTCGTCCACTTTCATGACTCCTGACACCTGGCTTGTACTAAGTAGGAAATATGGGCATGCATATTGCAACCGCTTGAAACTCAGAAAGTCGCCGGTTTCAGGCACATAGCTCCTTTACCAATATGGTTGGTGTCTCTACTCTACATGAGTGTGTCTCAACATCGGGAACCTGAAAAATGGATTGTTTCCTGGCTTCCCTTATAACCCACCCAAAAAGGGTACCCTCAGAAACGACCCACCCAGACCTTTTCCTGGCTTCCGCGATATTTGCAAGAGAGCTAAAGGGTTGACACATCATACGCTTCCTTCTGTGCCTGCAATACCATAAAACTACTGTGCAAAATCTGCAAAGTACTCCTCCAAGAAGCCCAAACAGCGGTTGGGGTCGTATTTCACCACCATTGCTTACCGTTCAGGATTATCATCCAACTTGGGTCCCAAGGTTCCAAGACCATGATTTTCCTGGGAATCGGGAGCTCAGGTGCCGGTCCTTTCTTTTGCTCACTGGCTGAGTGGATGGCCCAAGAAAAGTTCAAACTGTATATTTGCCACTAAAATGGTCTTTCCAAAAAGTTTAAAGTTCATGAACTCAGGAAGTGAGTTTATGCGTTTATGGAGGCCATCAAGGCCACCCCTCGCAACCCCCTTTGAGACACCAGGAACACACCCCAAGGTTCGGAACGAAGTTCTTGCGATGGTTGGGTCCCAAAAACAAGATCGTGAGACCAAGGTCCACAAATGAGCGCCACAACCGAGTGAGTCATGGTATGTTTATGGTCTACACAGAACCATGTAAGAATTTACAGGGCACTTCCATGATAGAAGAATTGGACCAGGTACAGGACCATCACGGCGGAATCGATGGGTACAAAGATCAAGCAGGTAGATCCTTATTGTTGGGGGCCGACTTCCTGTTGGCTTTGACCGGGAAACAAAACGAAAGGTGCGAAACTCCACAAATGGCCTGAAGCAACTGGAAGCAACCCAAATGTTGGAGGGCAACTCCTCTCCAGGCTTCCAGGTTTGGCAACGCCCTGGTTGACTTAAACTCAAGGGTTCCTTCCCCTTTAGGGGGACTCAGCCACCGGGTTTAACTCTACCTAGTCGTCAACAAAAATGGGAACCCTGGAATCCTCCCTTCGGCTTGTTCCGAAAAACCGCGGACCTCTTGCAGCTTGGACTGCAGGAGGGATTGGATCACCCGGCAGCAGCTGCCGCTCTCCGGGGTGGTCAAATCACCCAGCATCCTAAGGCGGTGCGCAGAAGGGAGCGGACGGCGACGGAAGCAACGAAGGCCTGGGTGGGTGAGTGTGTTTTCTTGCGAGTTGGCACCCTTTCTTGCGGCTTTAAAGGGCCACGGTACACGAAAACGTAGACTAAACCTGTGGTGCGCTGGCTTTCAAAACTTTGAGCCACACCCACATCCCTTTTCTAGCCGAGTTGTTGCGATGTGATGTAGTCAAGATGCAGTCTGGGAACACCAAGGCAGCAATTCCCGCCAGATTGCTAACCAAAGCCTAGGATCCGTTGCATTGTCTAAGTGGGATTTGGCCCTGCTGAGTCAAAATCAGCAGAGCTCTCTCAGCTCCCCTACCTCAAGCGCCAGTGAATCATAGTCGGAAGGATGGTATGGTCTGTTTGGGAAACCAACACTTAGGGAAACCAAAACTTGGCGGCTAGGAACACCAAAACTCAGGGGCACCATTTCTTTGGTTGGCCTAGGGAAACCAACACTTGGCGGAACCATTTCTTTGGTTGGCCTAGACAAAGCAAAACTTAGCGGTGCGTTGCTCCTTGCTACAAGTGAAACTGCTCGTGAGTAATTACTGTACAGACTCCTGAATCAGTTTGTAGTCCATCCACGATATGTCATCCATGCGTCTAAACTCTACAAATCAATTATTCTAAGGCTATGGCTGAAACCCAAGCGGAAGCGAAACACCTCCATTCCCTTTACCCAAGTCTGGCCTACACCAAATCACCTTCCATATACCAACTCCTGAAAATGTCCAGGTATTTCTTGTTGAACAAATCCTCCAGCCGAAAGTTCCAGAAACTTCCCACCTAAACTCTGGGGGAACCAAAGGGGTCGAAAAGCACATTCTGCTTCCAAAAACCTAAAGCTTTTTCGCGATAGGGCTTTCAGCCACTTCCCAAAGCCTGGAGTCTCGGAGCCTTGCGGACCTGTCGGAATCCCCTTCCGGTTCTCTCCCACCCGGAAACTCGGAAATTCATTCCCTAGTCTTGGTGCGAGAAGTAGGGAATGTGGGAACGAAGCCAGGCTTTGGGTCCCAAAACCACCAGTTTGATGGTGAAAAAGAAATGGGTCGTCATTCCACTTCTCATTCCCTATCGCACACCAGCAAGTTCAGGAGTTTTCATGTGACATCATGTGGCCATGGGTCAAAATCAAATCGTACCCCCAGTCAACATCCCAATCCCCACTAAAATCGGTTCTAAAATGGGTGGTGAAGTCACCCACCAACCAAAATGGTACCGTCATGTGGCTGTGGCTCAAAAAACCGGTACCGAGATGGAACCATGCACCAAAACCTGCCTAACCCCTCCGATCGTTTAATTCTGAGCCACCACTTAAACAGAAAATGGGTGGTGAATGCACCTACCAAAATGGGATCCAAAACGGCTTTGACCACAGGCCATGTGACCGCGGGCCATCCCGCTCGCCCGGGAGTACCGCTCGCGGCCGAGGGGCAGCAACCCGCACTCCGAGGAGGCACTGGAGGTGCCCAGCGTGCGCCGCAAGAAGCCCTTGGAGAGGCCTGGGAAAAGCGCCCCCTTTGGGACCATCGCCATGGAAAACCACGGGTGTGTGTGTGTGTGTGGCTTTTTGTGTTTTGTTTTGATGAGGCTGCCTTTTGTTCATGGCCCTGAAAGGGACACCACCCATTTTGCGGGTGGCCATGCAGGTTCCTGTGAGAATCCGGGGGAAACCTGAGGAAAGGGCCCCAATTGCTGATCTCAAAGGTTCATGGCCATGGTTAAAATGTGCCCCCCCCCATGAACCCCATGGGTGTTTCTTCGGTTTGCTCAGGGCTTGGGACGCCCTAGATCTTGAAGCAGAGGGCGTCCACCCTCAGGGAACACCTCCAAACGCCCCCCAATCCACCTTGGGATTCAAACAGACCAGTCCCCCAAACGCTTTTTGACATGTTACGACACATATTTCAAATGAACAAGCGCACAGGAAGTTTCGGATAGCGTTAATGAGTCAACCTCGGAAGTCCATTTGGATAAATCGGGTGCTTCGTGTTGGGTTTGAAGGGCGTCAAATCCCATGGCAAACCTCGGAGCCCTCTTGTTGCGTACTTTCAAGGGACCAAAAAACACTCCTAAGATCCCAGCCGCGTAATCACGTATAAATTGCTCGGCAAAGGGAAATAACCTTATAACTTGTACCACGTTGCTTCCCTGAATATACAATAAAACATTTTTCTGCTGTGATCAGGTCTTACATTCTATAGACTCCACAAGCCCAGGTTTAATCATGAACAAAACCGCGTACACTTTCAGGGTTGATCATTGACACCTTTCATTTAAATCGTAAAACATATACTTTGCCAAAAAGTGCAAGGGTAAAGCTACGAATGTGTATCCAGCAAGTGAACAGGCTCTTTAGTCGAACCAACACCCACTCACGGCTAAAGTTTCGTACCCTTGCAGGCAGGGCGTTCCACATTTTGCCTCCAAAATAGCCTTAAAGCTAGGTGTTTTATACAAGGGCCATGGTAAAAGATCGAGATCTGGGAGCATCTGCCATGTCTGTTGCAAGCCTCCAGTGGCTAGGCGGAAAGAGGACACCGCTTTCCCTTTTCTTGGTTGGCGGACTTTCAACCGCAGCCAAAGGGAGAAGGGCACCATGGGTGGCTGAGGGTACGGTCAGCATTGGCATAGAGGAATTGCAACTTAATTTACCGACAAAGCTTCGCTTGTTTATTCATGGTCATGTGAGCCATGCGAGCCACGATCCAAATTTCGCAGTGGACATGGAGAATTCAGAGACACGTTTCTTTGAGCCGGGATTTGTATCCAGGCGCTCCCTAACCCCTCCAAACGCCCCGACATCTACCAGTGAAGCCTTTTGGTCAAGGCCAAAGTTCCTATGCCTGGGATGGGTAGAGCCCTGAATTCCAAACGCCATGGCTAATATGACTCGGTGTTCAGAACCCTCAGTTTCGGGGATGGGCAAGGCAACATGGACTTCTTTCCAGCCTCCTGTTTGGCAAGTCTACATCTTACACTGGTTGCAGGCCCAAAAACTCCCCTGCAAACGAGCATGGGATCCCCAATCTGGGTTGCTCTTCCCCCTGAGCAAAAGGCGGTGAGAGCTGTTGTCGGATTGAAAGGTTCGTTTGGGGCGATTCGGTCGCTCCAAAGTTCAGCCATGCAAAAATCCGCTTTTGGGGAATCTCCAGATCGATGCCAATGCCAAACAGAGGCCCTCGTTGGGGGTGCTTTCTGTGGCCTCCACTGTAGGAGCTGAACACTGGCACCGAGCTGTACAATGGGTCTTAGCTGTGGCTGTCATGGCGAGAAAGGGCACCTTTTTCGTGTTGGTTGGTTCGACATGGACTCCCTTTCCGGGAGAAAGTAACACTGAAGGGTCTGAGTAGGCCGGGCCTTTGCATGAAACCAACAAACCAAACTCAAAGCCCACCTGCTCCACCTGCTCCACCAAATCACAAAAGGAGATCGGAGATCCGCTGATCCGCCGGCCTTTGCATTGGGCGACCACCTCCGTCACCACTTTGCCGTGGTGTTCCGCATCGCCGCCCACGCGATTCAGCTCGATGGCGCTGCGGTCCAGCAGAGACTCATAGGACTCCACCTCACGCGAGAGCGCGAGCGTGAGGGCGACACCCGCTTTGGACCCCAACTAGGTCCTCCAGTAGAGAGGATAGAATAAGGGTACCCATTTTTTCCTGTAGTCTATTTTAGTAGGGGAACCCTCCCCCAGAAAAGGGGGTAAAAAGGCACTACTGGGGGACCTAGCCAAGGTAGACTTCAGACTTAGGCCAAGGGGTCTCATTCCTGACATCTGGGTTCATACCTGGACACATGTTGTCTGGTCGAGTAAGCAAATCTTTGGACCAAGCTACACTTAAACCAAGGGGCTGATTTCCTAAATTGCGGTACCCTTTCGGCATTGATCCGTTGGTCATGGGCAATCCAAACAGTTGTCCCTATGCTATGTTGGCTAGTGACCTAGGCGATGGGAACCTATTTCGTACAACCCGGCTAACTCCACTTGGTGGACTCACAACACTTTGCATAAGCTGGAAAGCTAGCCGCTTTCTAACTTGGCCGAACACCCCGATAGACGTGCGCCCCTATGTAAAAGACAGGTCCCGAGAGTGACGCGTGATCGCAAACTCATTGGATCAGCCGGGCCGATGCGTCCCCCTGAACTTGGCAGGTCGAAACGGCCGGCAAGCCAAACGCCAGCTGGCCGCATGATGGGCAGGTCCTCTCCTTCTGGGCTCGCTTCTAAGGGAGGAAACCAAAGGCCCAGCCGGTCAACATTCTCAATGCAGGGGTCCATGCTCATAGTCAAGTACAAGCACCTGGCACTTGGCCCAACCACAGGGTGCTTCAAAGTTTGGTCAACCCTTAACATCTTGATAATCCGAGCCGGCACCAGAAATTGCCTCAAGTGGAACTCACAAAAAGGAAGCAACAGGCCAGACTCTCTCCTTTAAGGGCACCCCAAAGCCTGCAGTTCCATTTTTCGTTTGGTTGATTTAAGCATTGCCTTCTAGGCCCTGTGTTCTTTGTGGGGTAAGGATCAGAGGGAGATGCCCGAGTCTAGTTGGAATGCTTCGAATTCCCAGAATAACAGCTGTACACTTTCATGTTGTCAGCCACCACTCACCCAAGGCATGTAAAGATTAAGATCTTGAATATAAACAAACAAACAAAAACAATGTTTTTTGGCCCCCCAGCGTAACATGTCGTGCCAAGGCAACAGATTTCGAGTAGAGATCGGTTCTGCAACTGCCTCCGGGTGATACTTGGTGGTCGGCTTTGACACCCAGGTCAAAACCATGCTTGTGGGCCCATTCCAAACGGGAAGTTTGAAAGCCCAGTCTCACTTGCGACCGTCCTAGAAGTCCAAGCTCACAATTAAAAGCTGAAGTCTGGAAGCTTGGAAGAAAGCAAACGGCCTAAGACTCAGATGTTAGGGCGAGCGGCGATCATCTTCATGGTGACTCCGGCACTCTGCAGCGTGGCCTGGCCGCAGATTACCGGGCTCCAGCCAGTTTCGAGTAAATGCGAAAGTTTAAGTGAATTGCGACTATGACAACAACACCTACTACTACTACTACTACTACTACTACTACTACTGCTGCTGCTGCTGCTGCTACTACTACTACTTCTACTACTACTACTACGACTACTACTCCTCCTCCTCCTCCTCCTCCTCCTCCTCCTGCTGCTGCTGCTGCTGCTCTGCTGCTGCTGAAAACAACTTGCACCAAAATGAAGGTCAGGAAATCCTGGGCAGTCCGAAAAGCAAATTACTCATCCCCTTGTCCAACACGCCAGCCAGCCAGCGAGCCACTGTTATGACCCGCTAAAAATGCTACGCAGGACACGTAAATCGCCCCACCAGAGCTGGAAGAAAACAAACAGAGCTGGAAGTCTGTGACTACCAATAACTGGGTGACCTCGAGCATCGGATTCGCCCCTTCGCAAGCCCTTTGAGCTGCCCAGAACAAACAAATCGGGCTCCACTTCTGAAGGTGACCAACTGACATATTCAACAAGACCCTCTAGATGGTGGTTTGGGGTTGTCAAAATGCAACCACATCGGGGGATACGGAAAATTGCTGAGTTAGTTTCCGTTTCAACTTGGTTGACAGGGAAACCCATAAGACAACTGCAACCCATTTATGGGTCCACAACACGCAATATTCTAGACACACACACACACACACACAGAGAACTACACGTTGTTTTTCTTTTTTCGGGGTGTGTCAGAGGTATGGAGGTTCTGGCTTCGTTTTTTCAAGTTCGTGCCATCCAACCGCCATCCGCCTGCTGCTCCTCCGTCCAAAGATCCGGCAGCTGGTCGATCAGCTTCCGGCTAAAGCCGTTGCCATCGCAGCTCACAAGGACCTCTCACGACATGTTGTTTTCTGTTGTGGTGGCTTTTTAGTATGTGTGTGATACACATCAACTACCATTTGCTACCCCCGGGGAAAAACAAATCCAGTAGTGATAGATTCCCTTCAATACCGACAAGGGACAAAAACAATATTCTGAAGCAAATGGAAGTCAAATATATACAACCACTATGTGAGATGGTAGTGGTTGGTTGGTGCGAGACCTCCAGTCAACAAGAAACAAAAGAAACCCTTATGTTCGTAGTTTGATTTTAACTGGAAACCCCTTGCAAGAAAACAACCAAAAGCAAGGGGGCACCACTGCGGGTCTGGCTGCTGGATAGAACACCATGGTTTTAACAGACTCCTTTCGGTTTACATTTACAGGGAACCAGGGTCAAAAGCTATTCAAGCAAGTGTTGGTCTTATTTTCGTGCCCACAAGCGAAGTTGAACCCCAAGATTGGCTCCTGTCGTGACACCTCCCCTTTTGAGGCGGTTCAAATGTCACCTGTTGGTTGCCACGGGTTCAAAGACTTCCCGGAAAGACCATGTTCGCAACCAACCACAGACCATAGACTGGCCCAATTCATGTCTTTGACTTCTTTCGCGGGGGTTCCAAACAAAACCATCGTCCCCTTCAAAGAAACCGCCGCTTTCATCGGTTCTGGTCTTCTGAAGAGCTCAGGTCCTCAGGTTCGTGGGAACATGAAGTCATGGTCCAAGTTGACTGGCCAAAAACAGTTTGAACTTTTTATTCACCACTAAAATGGTCTTTCCAAAAAGTTTAAAGTCCACCAACTCAGAAAGTGAGTTGAACATCATGGTTCATGCTGCTCAATCGAAGTCCAAAAACTCAGGGAGTCAGAGCCTGATGGATTGGTGAATTCAGGGGCTTCCCGCGAACCCTCTAAAGCCAGCGGTTCAAATCCAACTCCAAACCAGTCCAAACCACCAACTAAGGGCATTTTGGTCCATGTTTCCACTCACCAGGGCAACCCATGTTGGAATTCCGGATTTTTTAGCCACAGCCATATGTGGCTCTCTGAAGAAAAACAATGACCCCTGACTTCCAAAGGGACAGCTCCCCCGAGACCCAGAGACCCAGGGCACGAGGTTGGTGCCCGCAGCCCACGCGGACGCGATCTCCGCAGCGCACCACATGCCTTGCACTTCATTTTTGTTACTTGACACTGGGGGTTCACGTCTCACTTCCTGACCATGGGTGTGGCTCAGAATTAAAGAGCTAGCGCAAACCGCAGGTGATAGAGCTAGGCCCAGTTGTAGAATGTATATTTGTTTATCGTTTGCTTCACTTTGAGTCACTGGAAAAATGTAAAATGTGTCCTGAGTCTACCCCAGCTGAGTGGATGGCCCAACAAGTCTAAACTTTTTGCTTACCACACAAAAAGTCCTTCCAAAAGGATAAAGTCCAAGAACTCAGGAAGTGAGGAGTCAGCAACTCGGTGTTGCTTCACTTGAACCTGTTGGGGAGGGGAGGGTAATTTGATGATGGACAAAATATGAGACTAGAAGTTGGTGGTTTGCCGGGGGTTTGGAGGCGTTTGGAGGTGTAGGTTGGGTGGTTTCCATTTACCCACAAGAACCAGGGTTCAAATCCATTCACCAATCCAAACCACCAAGTAAAGGTTCCCTGATTCGCCAAACCACTGGAGCCACGAGAACCAATTCAGAAAACGCAAGGTGGAATTGCCATCCCCAAAACTACGTTCATCACTTTGCGCGCGCGTCACAGCCCCAAACCACATTTTCGGCAACTACGGCCAGAATCAACGATTTGCTGCACTAACATGGGGGTTTCTCTTGGTACAGAAAGTGGACGCCTAAACACCTAAAACCATATTTGCCCGCAACCATGACCCAGCCCTCATAAACGTACTGCACCAACCGGAGGATTCCCTTTGCCACCAAGCAAACATGAAAATGACTACATACCACTTCGGTGTAAACTAGCAGGTTAAGCACATATGCAGCAAACCATTTCAAATGGGTTCGACTTGGACCTGACCATATTCCACTCCCATGGTCCCATCGTCGGATGACATGCACCTTGCCATGGAAAGCACTCCAACTACGTGTCCATTTAAGCATTCACTCCAACGTCTTAGAACGCCCAAGGGGAAGAAGGGACCCCTGTTCCATGGCCTTTACTTCCCTTGGCGCGGCTTGCGGCGCCCTCCAACCATTCAAATGTATATCAAGCTAAAACGCACGCACATCTGGCAGATGTAGCCAGTTGAAGTTTAGGGGAAGGCAACCCTGTGTTGAGACAGTAAAGAACAACAGCAACCGAGCCTCTCTTGGCTTCCTGTCCAGCCCAAAGAAGAATTAACAACTGGGTGCCATTGTAACACGTGCCAACTCCATCAATGTACCAGTGCCATCGGAAAAAGGCCCAGAGTACCATCCAAAGAAACACTCGGACAAAAGCACACTTTTGATCCACGTCATTTTCCATGTCTTCCCGATCCAGGCGAACAGGCAGAGCGGCGCTTCAGGGTCTCGGAGGTCATTAGCACTACCACGTTCCTGACGAGATTGAGACCGCAATGGGTTTGGGGCGTCATGTGCAGGCTATGTCATATGGATTTGTCCGGTTCCAACGCCGACCAAGCTTTGGCAAGACTGATTCCCAGACTGATTCCCAGAACTTCAGTAAGGTGTTCCCCCTTTTCAACTCTTTGTTTGAAGAGGGTGTCCCTTTAAGATGAACTATCAAAAAAGCAAGGCAACTCATTCTTTTGCTGCGGCGACTCTTCAGGAAAGCAACAGGCTGTTTAGATCAAATCAAAGACCCCACAATCCACCACGACCCCTTCAGCTAGGGCCCAATTTGGCCTGGTGTGCCACGTTTAAAGGGCAGCTTCCCTTTGATGAATTTAAAAGTCTGAGAGGCTGGTCATAAACAAAATAAGTGCCAGTTCAACATGCCATCTGCACATCTCCAGTTCAACTTGCTTTGGGACAACTCAGAAGTAGCTCCAGGTGAGCTCGTGATGATTTGTTAAAACACACATCCCCAAAAATTACGGACACCAACAAAAAACAGGCTGACAATGTCATCATCATCTCTTGCTACCTGATTCCAAAGGGCAAGATCACCAGACAACTAACATAATGTCAATGACTGACCAGGGAAGTCTCGTAGACTGAGGCAAGACTTGCCAACGAAGGGTTGCTCAAGCGGAATGTTCCCCGATGGACCCCAATGCCCTTGCTTTTCCCCCTTCAAAGGGGGTCACAGCTCGGTCACAAGGAGTCTAAACAAAGGCATGCCTGCTTGACACAACCTCACCGGTATGTCCAATGTGACCACCCCGAAAAGCGGTTCTGCGTTGTTTCCCTTGCCATTCAAAAAACCGCTTCCCTAGCTGAGGCCTACCTTCAGGAAACGCCGGTGGAGATTCCCGAAACTCCATCTTTCTAGCCTTTTGCATGAAACGTTGAAACTTGAATGGGAATTCCAGGGCTCACCCCTCCCCCAAATCCATGTTCAAGCATTTCACAGACCTAGGGAGTGGTGGGGATTGGAGAACCCAATCCCGATGGGTACATCAAACAGTCCCAACAGGCCGTAGCCCAAAGACATCTTGACCATGAGCTTGTGCTGGCACGAGCCCAAGAAGCCAACTGAAGCTAACTGCTCCAGAGGGACACCCAGAAGGGCAAAAGGGCAAAATCGGTAAGTCTGGCAATATGTTCATATCGCATACCAAGTTATATCACAAAGGGGAATCTCCGTATCAAGTCTGGATATGCGGAAAATATCCTCCTCCAAATTGCAGATGTCCCTTCAACATTTCGGGAATACTGCCCAGATTAAGATGAAACCAAAAAACACGAGTCATGTCTAGAGGAAACTCCGATTTTGGGCCACACTTCTGCGGCTCCATGTAAAAAAGCAGGCGCACCAATTTGCAAAGCCAGGCCTGTGGAAACCATACACAGCACCCTTCGCTTCCTGAGGGGATTGGCAAAACATGTGTTTGAGGTGTACCACGAAAACGGTCTTCCCAAATTGCTTGAAATCGAGCAATTTGGGAAGGGACAACCTAACACCTGGGTGAAAGCAAATAGCACACTTCCGGTTGTGTCGGACAGGTGTGGAGAACTTGGAATCCGGACTTGTTCCTAATATGTCAAAATCGGGAACACCTCCGCGCCGCAAATTCCCTTCACCCAAACAAGGTTTCCGAGCCTAAGCACAGAACCACCTTGTCTTTCACCTAAACATAAGCGACCTTTTGGAAACCATATTTTTTCCTTCTGGTACATGGATGGCATACAACTCATCTAAACCAGCCCAAGGGATCCCAGATCCCAGCTAGCCATGTCGGTAATCAGCCATGTTCCTCTTGCGCCTCTTGGTGTTTAAAGGGTAAGAGAGGGAAATGGATCCACCAGCTTTTGGTTGCCACAGGGACATGGATCCACCAGTGGAACCCATCTATTTCGTCTTCTGATGTCGCATTTCAGTTGGGTGGGTCGGCTAGCGACCGAAGCGGACCATCGGACCATCGGAATGGGAAGGCTCGTGGAGTCCCAGGCCGTGACGTCGATGATGGCGTCCAGCTTGTTCACGTCGTCCGAGTCCAGGAAGACCCGGCTGCTGATCACCTGCCCCGGAACTTGACACGACCCCGCCGGGGACTTGGCCCGAGCCGGGCTTGCCGGAGCCGGGGAAACATCCGGAAGATAGTTCTCTGAGGGAGGGCCTTTGAGGTCAACGTAATTAATCCAAAAGGGTGACAAGAGTTGGTTAAAACTCCTCCACCTGTAGCTCACGAAGTCCAACAGGTCCAACCATGTAATTCATCCAAAAGGGGTCGACCGTTTGGCCGGGGTCGACCCGAATGATTAGCTGTCGGTTAAAACACATAAGCGCTTGGGCTCTCAGGCTTTCAACAGCCAACCCATCCAAACGATGCGGCAACCACCCCCGAATCATTAGGCAGCCGGGGGGGTGTTCAAATGTAGGCTACATTTCGAAACAAAACCCGAGTCCTCGACAGTGTGCTTTCCGCCTCAAATATCGCTTGTAGAGCAAAAAAAAAGGGAACATGTACGATTGCATCTTCAGATTGAACCAACGCACGTCTGCTCTTTCAAGGGGTGGAACATGTAGCCTACATGTTCACCCCCTCCGAACGGTTGCCACTTCTCTGCCATTGTCTCCAAACAAGAGGGTGGTTCAAGCGCTTCAGCATCTATTTCATATTAAAAAGAGCTTCAGCATCTATTTCATAAAACAAAAGAAACGCATTGGGCCTTTTCCAAACATTTGTTTGAACTAGGCCCGAACCAATACAGACCCGTGGCTCAGATCGCCCCAAATCCACCAACGACTTCCGCGCACGACTGCACGGCGATGAGCGAGCCGAGAGGCCCAAGGCACCCAACCCTACCCTTCGATGCCCCATGGTTGACGTTGGGTTTAGGGAGAAAAACAAAACAATAGCAACCACAAGAAGGGGAGCAAAAATTGAGAAAGTTTAGCAGTCAAGTGGTTGGATTTCAACCACTAAACCACAAGAAGATCAAAAATGGGGAAAATATGTGTCCCAACGACAACCATGGCGTCCCAAAAAGCAAAACCTGCTAGCAACTGGCACGCCTGCACAAAGAAGTTGGCAAAAGGTTTCCCGCACCTGGGTGAATAGTTGCCATCTAGAAATAAAGGTCCTCTATGACTCGATTTGCCCAGATCTATGGTGGGGACTATCTACAAACTGTCAAGCTTTGTGCGGTAACAAATACACGAAACTCGCCAGTCATGACCATTTCCCGTATAATTAAAGCAACTGGGGCCCTTGGAAAATCTCACTTCCTGAGTGGATTGGTCCGAACAAGTCACGACCTTGCGTGTAGCACAGAAATGAATGGGTGTCTCTCAAATCCGAAAGATATGATGGCGTTCCTCGGGATTAAGCCCAAAAGGGTACCAACCAACAAAAAGTCCAGATGATATATTTCCAACAAGCGGCTCAAGTACATCTTCAGGTGACACACATCAACAAATCGTCAGATGATCTTTCCACCCGGTGGTGGATTCAGTGCTAGTTGAGCTCTCCAAACAAGTGCCCTCCAAGCCCTGAAAGCTTCAGCGAAATCCCTGTAGCCCTTCCCAGAACTGCCAGGCAAGCCAATCTAGGTAACCAAGAAGTCGCCATGAAAACCTAGAGGTAAGACACCCTGGCTATTTTTCCCTTCTATTGTGGTGGCAACCCGCATCTTCCAGAAACCTAGCTAGTGGCTCTACATTTTCGGGATCCCCTCCCAAACCCTTCGGAACCATACGCAACGACCGCTCCATCTCTCCCGGAAACCAATCCAGCAATCCTCGAAACCCTCCGGAACATTCCCTGCAGCTGCTCAGAACACTCCGGAGCTTAAATGGGCGGAGACACCATAGACTTCAGCTGTTGGGGAAAAAGAAGTTGAAGCTGCCGGTGTTTGTTCCACCCACATTTTACAACTCAAAAACTGGGGAGCTCGCCATGGAATAGGCTAGCCTTTGATGGGCGTGTCCCTTCGTTAAGGGTGTTTGGAAGTTGCCCTTGGCTTGATTTGTGGCACAAGCGGAAATCAAGTGCTAGTCATGACTACGTCCCAAAACAAACAATAGGAAAACAAGAAACACCGCCTCGAGCACATGGCAACAATGCCTGAGGGAGGGAAAACAATAATTGCGTCAATCAATAAGGGCAACTCAGAATGAGGGATGTCAGAACCGAAGTAAAATGTTTGCAGCCTTCTATTCCTTTGTTTTCCATGTTAGTCAAGGTTCGGACATTTCGTTTAGCACTAAACTATCTTCCCAAAATGTTAAAGGCCCCCCGCAACTCTTGGCCCAACTCGGGTACAAAAAAAACATGATCTGCTCAGATTCTGTTTCATAGCCGTGTCAACCAAAATGTTGGCGACGCCACCCCGGATCGCCTCAGACAGCATCATCTTGAACCACCGGGAAAGCACCGCGGCGCCCAACTTGTGGTGACCTCAAGGCGTGTTCCATGGGGCCTTCTCACTGCCCGACTGGGCCAAAGAAGTCTTGGAACAGTTTGTTGATAGCAACTAAAATGGTCTTTCCAAAAAGTGAGTAAGTCCATGAACTCAGGAAAAGCCTTTCTGGACAACTTGGAACATTCTCGCCTGCCCAGGTCTCAGGTTGGCTCGCCCATGGTTCCTTTCGAGTCCGGTTTTCCTTGGTTTCCAGGGAGGAACAATGCTGAAAATCCGAAATGAACCCCTAAGATTCAGCTCGGTTGCGAAATCTGCTCCCCTGCTAAAAGTGGATAGCTTTTAGTGGTTTAGTGGAAAACCCATTAGTTGGCAAAAAGTTAAAAGTCCTAACAGCCCTTGGCAAAATGCACCAAAGTAAGCCATGTAGTTTTTGAGGCCACACTTCCTCGGCGTCTTCCTCGGGGTTGCCAGGGTTCCAGTATCATATATTCAGCCTTCGGCCCGAAAACCGCTCACCATCTGAGAGACCCCTAAAGGCAATCTCGGAACAGGGACCTTGTACATGTGTTATCTTTGGACTCTCTGCATCAGGTTCGCAGTTCTCTTCAGAAAACTAATTACAGGCTCTGTTCCCCATTCCTTTTGTGGATAATGAAAAAACGCCCGTTCCGGAAACGCCTAAACAAACACCGGGGAATCTGAAAAGAGCGATGGTCGAGAACATCGAGACAAGCCGCCAGGTTTGGGTTGCTGTCTGAAACACCTTGTGAATGTGCATGTGTTCAAATAGCCTTTCAACCTTCAAAAGGGCTCCTTGTACCAGTGCCCAGCAATCAACATTGGCAACCAACGCAGGGGAGCATGGGGGGAGTCGAGAAGTGACACATCAGGAACACATGTTGGAACATCAAAGGCGGTATAGAGCAAAACGATGGGGCCCCAATATGCGAAAAGCGAAACCAAATGCACTGACCGCACAAAAGCGGGGTCCCCCAACTTGGGATATCAAATATATATATATATATATATATGTATACATATACAGATACATATATATATATATATATGTATATACATACGTGTCTTAACATGGACCAACGAAATGATGGTTTCTCCTTTGGCTTTACTGTGCAGCTCAAAAAAAGGCACCATATATTATTCCACAAAGAGAGATGATATCCCCAACAGCAACCCCCTGTGCAGTGTTCCGCAACCATTAACCCGGAGCCGCTCTTTCACCCAATAGCGCTTTTTCTGAACAAACGAACAAGCGGGGTATGGGGGGATTCCCTTGGAGCCATTTCCCATATCAAACTTAGTCAGGGTGCATTTAGGGGGGAATCCTCCCGTATCCCTGGCTCTCGACCCCAAAGCTTCCAGCGGGGGGGGGGGGGCCAACTTGCACGCCCTCTCCAAGCGGCTCAAGAAAATCCCGTAGGTCCTTCAGGGCGGTTGCCACGAACGATTTCTTGAGGCTCGGTACCCCTTCTTGGGGAAGGTGCAAAGAGAAATCAAAGGGAAAATCGCAAGGTTGAGGGTAGTTCAAGTCCCTGCTTTGCCACATGTAGCTTGTTCTAAGCATGGGTTTAAACCACAGTTTTGTGTTAAAGAAATCTCGACCCAGGCTGCATGACAGAAACTGGCTTCTAACACGGTTTGTGACCCCGCAGTCAGCCTAACTAGCATTTTCCTGATGTTGCCTGTTAATGGCTTCAGTACGCGTTTTCGATTCACATTTATGATGTCAATAAGATTATCGCAACACAACATATCTGACTTGTTTACATTATGTTTAAGCCCCCTTCCTCCTTCCTTGACCGCAAGGCAGGCGGTGTCGGAAATCATTTAAAACACAACAAAAGGGGAAACACATCGCAAATGCATCGTTCATCATGCCCAAATCGTACATCTTACGTAGAACGTCTACGATTGTTTCAACGATTTTCTACATGCAGTTCTGTTGCGGTTTGTCGGCGATTTGCCGGCGACTTCCCGGGACTCACCATGTTCCTCTTCCCCTTGAACTCCGAATGATGGTACAGAAGTGAAAAACAGGACAAAAACACCAAACTCGTATCATGACATCAAAAACACCAAATCTAGAACTCCGAAAAACACAAATGCCCATGACACCAACATCGTATCTAGATCGTAACCAAAAAAATCGAAAAACCTTGGGCCGACGAGCTGTAGGTCACCGGTTCGGTTTCCCTTCAAGGGGCCCATCTGGCCGTTCTGAGGTGCATCCACTGAAGCGTCCTCAGTTTGTGTCCCTATGTTCTTTGACTCAGTTTGTTGCTGGACCTGCTTTTGTGACAGTGTCTATTGTAGTTAGAGTTTTCCTCATTCAGGATCTTTTGAGACTGTTTTAGGGGTCAATAATACAGACTGTCCCGAGAGAGAAGCCGGGCAAAACGAGAAATACCATATCAAAGCCTTAGCCTTTTACTTTTAAAGCGTGGGTTATCTAAATCCTTCCCAGATGTAGGAAAATCAATGCAAATGGTCCCCAAACCATCAGAATTATGGGACACAATATTCATACAAACACAAGCCCAAACAATTGCACAACGGGGGGGTGCCCACGGGAGGTCCTTTTCTTAATGTTAAGCTCTTTTTAGCGGTTTGTTTTGTTTTGTTTTTGTTTTTCTTGTTTTTCTTTTGGGGGGGGGTGGGGAAATTCCCAGAAGATGTTCTTTTGTTTTCCTAATGTGAAGCTTTGTGTTTCTTATTTTTGTTCTTTACTGTTGTTTTTTTTTGGGGGGGAGGGGGCGCGTTGGGCAATTTCGCAGAACGAAGCCTTAGCCTTTTACCTTTGCAGGGCGGCTCACACTAAACTCTTCCGGCAGTTCTAAATCTAGAAATGGCAATACTCCTTGGTTGCTTTCTGCTCCCCTGCTGAAAGTGACTAACTTTTCGTGATTGAACGGAAAACCCAATACTTGGCAAAAAGGTTTTCAGTCCTAAGGCAAAATGCACCAAAGACTCAGTGTATCGGGGAGAAGTCCAACCCAGAACCCCGGACCCGTTAAGATTGCGGTCCTCACAAAAAACGCGTCCTCATTCAGATTCGCCGCGACACCACGTGTGTTTTTCCGTAGGCACGTTGTCAGTTTCCCAAGGGGATGGATTGCATCTAGTTATTCCACTTCTGCATTTCCCCCATGCTCACCCCGGGGTGCTCACTGGTCCTGGTTGGTCGGTAGGCACGATACACCGCCAACACGAAGATGAGGATCAACCCAATGGCGGCGAACACGGTGCCGATCCTCCAGCCAGAGGGCTGAGTCGTTGCGAAAAGACGTCCAAGCCCGATCACAAGGAAACCTGTTTGCTTCCGCGTACTTTGAATTTGGAGACAACCCCGAAACCTCCCCAGCAAAAACAAACACATACTCATCCAAATGGCAAATACACATAGAAACTCTCCAGCTGGCTCGTTTGCTTGTTGGCGTGTGTCAAATGGCCATCTGTCGGCTAATTTCCATGTGCCCAGATTCCACATAGGCAACTCAGTTGCCACCGGAAAAAAAGGGAAAACGGGTGCCACTGAACGACTGAGGCAACTCTCCCATTGGATCGTCGAGAATTGGCAAGAAAGATGACCAAGGGCCCGATACCAAAAACTTCCTGGCGCGCTTGGAGCCTTGCTTTTCCAGGGATCCTTACATTATACACCTGAACATCGCCTTGCAAATGGAGGTGTCACTGTATTTTGGTGGAAAAAACATGTTTCAAATGGGCAAAATGTATCCTTTAAGGAGCCCTGTTTTCGTTAGCATGATGTCCTTCCAGTTTTTGAAGGTTGCCTCACCAAACGAACACTACTTGACCTGCTGCAAATTTCGCAAATCTGTCCCCGTCGGTGTGCCACATATCCCAAACATCTAGTGGATCAGAACAAGACAAGGCACCTCGGTTTGGTTGGTTCATGTTGAAGGAAGACCCACCAACATTTACAATTAAACGTGCGTGCAGAGTGGACCTGGAAAACCACATGAAAACGGGGTCTGGACAGATTGAACCATCCATCCCCCGTTTGCTGCTTGGGGAAAAGGCCGCGAGTCCTACTTTGCACCCACCCAAGCTGGCCACGCTGGCCAAACCTGTGCAACAGAAAATCACAAGCTCTTCTAACAGCTAAGGGCAGATCACACAGTGAGCCATGACCTAAGTTACAACATCTGGGTGTCAAGAGCCCAGTGAGGCCGATCTTCGATAGGGAACGGCCTTGTCTGCGCAAACCTGGATACACAAATGGTGAACGAGACCAGAACAACTAGGGACAGAGGCAACATTTACTCCCCTACAAATTAACATGGAATCCACCTGTTTTGGGTTCCTGCCGTTGAATCGTAGTTTAGTAACAAGTGAACTCTCACTTGCCCAGGGAACTGGAAAAAGCGTCACCCATTGCGAACTTGGCGTTTTTCAAGGGCATTTTCTTGGTATGACGAGAGTAAACCACAATTTCCGCCATGCAGGGCCTGGAGCATGTAAAAACAATTCTCCCCAGATTAACAAATGAACAGGGACCCCCAGAACGCACGTAACAAACACCCCATTTGCAGAGGAACCTCCTGTTGGGAGGAGCCCTTCCTCTTTTAAACTGACATCCCAAAAGTGCAACAGTTGGCAAACAAATACAATTGAGGAGAAAAGGATGCAACATGACGCAGGTTACATGTCCCTTCCATGGAGACCCTTCGGAGAACTCTGCGGGGATAATCATGAAAACCGAGGGGATTTCTGTCCGATCATGTCTGGGTGTTCCAACCATACAAAACTCACAACCTGAAATTATGGACCTCGACGACAGGTGCCGTGCAGCATTCCCAATCCAGCTGAGTAATCCCGGGTGGTTGTTTAGGGAATCTCCAGGTTCATTCTCAAACCTCAGGTGATTCCCTCCGAACCAGCGACTGCTTGAATCAAGAGTCAAGCAAAAACTGAACATCTAAGGATCTCTCCTTGAAACGGATCGCATGCCGACCAGGAAAAGCCCAGCCCCCTTCTCAAGAAGTTTCAGGGAATCCACACAGGTCACCGCCTTGTTTCACTGCCAGGTGGCATCAGGATCACCTGGATGATGTAGGTGCCCCTTGCCACATCAAAATCCAAGAGCATGCTCCCCACCACGATGACCACGATCAAAAACAGGGCCAAACCTCGAGCCGCACCGCACCGATGCACTTGCGACGGGCGTTCTTGTTTTCTGTTTTGTTGGTGGGCGTGATTTGTTCTTGCAAAGGGGCCTGACCAGAAGCGCCTAAACACTTGGGGCAGTTATACCTGCCTACATGAATGTTGTGGCGTGGCCTGACCATGATTCCCTGCACACTTAGGTTAGGCTTTCTCACCAATACAGGGGCGTTGCAAGCAACCTTGCCTTCGCAGTTTCTTTGTTTCACGTACTCCGAATGATTCTCTCTGGGGTCAAGAAAACAACGTCCCAACCTGACCTGTAGGAGGTGCCAACCTATGTGGGATGGTCAAAACTGCCAACCTGCGGGCTATTGCCATGGATCTAAAGTCCCTCTTGAAGGGTCTATGACCATCTCTGTAACCCATGGCAACAGTGTCGGGTATCGACGCAGAGCCGACGCATATAGTTTAGTCTTCCAGGTTTGGGGGCGGCACAGCCGCTTATTTAGCTTGCTGATGCTCTTAGGGATTGATGGAACGCCCAACCCTAGGGGGTCTTAAAGTGACGCTTTGAATGGTAGTTTAACGGGGGACACCACTCCCAAAAGCAATCTTGAAAACCCACATAATTTGAAGCCGCTTCTACACCCCCCTCCTCTGCCCAACACACAACACACTAGGGTTCCTGGAGCATGTCAATGTCCCTGATTCTGTGGCACCCCTTTTCGCTTGCTGGCTTCCTCAAAAATGGTCAGCCGTCGAAGAGGAGACTTTTTCTCTTGCCAGGGTTGGGCAAACTGTAAAGGAAAAAAACAAACATTAAGTCTATTGTACGGGCGCATAGGTCAAGACGATTTCGCTAAGCGACGTTTGTATCATGAATCAGGGATTGATGCTCGCGGCAGGTCAGGGACATGAAGCCCTAGTTCACTGGCGAAACACAACAATCATGGCTTGATGTTTGCATCCCGCATGTTCCAGGCAAGCCAATGGTAGTTCACAAGCGAAAGAAACACCTAGGTGTCGTAACTTGCCTTGCATTGTCTAAACAAGGATTTAGCTTTCGGGTTAGAACAACGCCAACTTACCAACATTATCAGTCTGAGCAACATGCACGTTGCATCCATCAGCACATCATTGTCAGAGCATCAGTTGGCTAGGAAAAGCTCGGAAAATGCAAGAAAACACACCACACACCACACCACTCGTGTGCGACAAGGCCAGGCCATCTTTGTGGGCCTTCGTTTTCCAGCATAAGGCAGGAGATCCGCCAGACACATTCAGCATCTCCAACTTTCTAGCGCCCAGGTGTTGGTCGCACTTCCAGTGGATTGGCCGCTGGAACTGCTTGCTGGCCGAAGCGGGCTCAAGTTTCATGGACTGAAGTCTAGGGCAACCTCCAGTTTCAACGTGGCGATTGGCCATGCAAAGCATTTTGAAAGATGCTTAAACCTACCGACTTAGGGTCTCCATGCATTTACAGATTGGTAAATGGCCACTGCACACAGATCTTGGGAGTTCGGAGCTGAACTGTGTCAATGGAAGTGATACAACTGTCGAGGTGATCTGTCTAAACAATAGACGGGCCACACAGATTAGCATGGATGTTTTGACTGGCTGCTGTGGTTGACAGACTGGACGTGTCTTAGCCATCAGACAGGGGGGGGGTTGGTTGCAACCCAACTAACGGCATCAATTCAAACTCAACTAACTAGTCTGGCCCTGTTCATTACCGCAAGAAACCAACGGGGGACAATACAAAAACCAATCTCCCACCCGGAATCTGCCAAACCCTCGAAAAACCGTCCAAAAACGGTCCGGCACTATCCGGTTCCTTATTCCGCGAACCAAGCATGCTTGCACCAAACCTTTCATCTTCATCTATTGTCTCTAGGGTCGGCCGGTTGTTCCTTAAACAGCACCGAGGAAAAAAAGCGCGGCGCCTGCATCCATAAGATTGGACATCTTGGTACGCCAGGGCCAGATATGAGCCTAGCCGGTGGGCAGCTGACAGGCATAATCGAACTATACATTGGATGTTTGTGTGGGCCAATGAAGGCATACATATATGTGTATATGTATATGCATGAGCACAAAAACAGTGTATATAAACGTGTATTGTATATGTATACATGTATATGATATACATATATATGTATATACACATGCAGTCTATATATATATATATATTGCATGTCATCCTGGACAACTGGGTGTCAGGTTTCGATTGTGATTCGGTTTTGTTGCTTCCCCTTCGTCCATTTGCTTGGCTGATGGACACAACCCTGCAGTCACCAGGAGGATTTGGACCCGCAAAATGGGCGGCTTCCCTTTGAGCCACCTGAACAGGGCACCCGCACCCTTCGCGTCAAGCGAATCACAACCTACCAACTCTCTCAGTTCGTCTCTGGAAACTGTTGGAAGGCCTTCTGCGTTGCAGCTTTAGGATTCGTAAGCAGATCTGCCTTGGAACTTGTAAGCTCACAGTTCTCTCACGTCAAACGCACAGACGTGTCTAGCTGGACATCAAATACAAAATAAGCTCACCAGTGGCTTCTTTCAAGAGGCATGGCTACACTTACAGCCATGGATGTGTCAATCGAGCTCGAAACAAACTGTGTCGGAGGTTGGCCATTTGGAGGCCCATGTTCCTACGAGGAGAATCGCCGTTTTGCAGGTTTTGCTCGGCCCAACTTGTCAAGGGAACCACCCACTAGAGACTAAAAAATCAAAATGGTGGCTTCCTATAGTGGCATCATTGGGATCCGCTGGGTAGAGCGAAAAACCGCCACTGTTACCGTGTTCCCCTGGCAGGACATTTGCCAACATCGTGGAAATGTAACGCCCCGTTGCTTGTTTCTGCGTAATCCCTCCTAGTGCTCCATTTTCCAAGAGTGCAAGTATTGGCAGTGACAACCACTTCTTCTCAGTGCGAACTTGTGTTTGTAGAAGGGCTCCCCATGCCGCCAGTGTGTTATTTTTCACAGGAAAATCACACATCGGCCTTTCGAAGAGGTGTCGGAACATTGCAAAAGAGGTGATGTTTGAAACCAGCCCGGTGAACAACTTGTTCCATGTTCCTTGTCTAGAGAAGGGACCTTTTGAATACAACCAAGCAACATCAGAATGCTGATTGTTCCTTCCTCGTTCCGTTTGGGGGGGGGGGGGCCTGGCAACCCCATGTCTTCTCGCTGGAAAATGGTGTCTTTATCGTCCAGGAACCTCAATTTCTTCTTGGTTGACGTTGGAAGGGGAGCAATTGAGAAACTTTAGCCTTGTATTTCAACCACTAAACCACAATAAGCTCAAAAAGTGGGGAAAATGATTTCCCAACGACAACCATGAATTTCTCTGTGTCCATTCAATCGAACCCATCGGTCCATCAACCAGGCTTCGGGAATGAACCCGAGCGATGCCAAAAAAAAATTGCTTCGGCCGAAAGCTCGGCGAAAAATCCGCGAAGCCCAGCTAAAAGTGACGAACTTTTAGTGGTTTCATTCGGAGAAGCCAGCTGGCAAACAGTTAAAGTCCTAGCATCCAAGCAGAATGCACCAAAGAAAATACATCCGCAAGGTGAATCTTCCGTCTCAGGGGGGGGAGGGGGAAGGGGGGGGCTTTTATGGATCACCTTGATGGAAAATGCCGTGTTTGCGTGACCAAACAGCTGACCCAATCAGAGGGTCCGAATCCGGGGCTCCGAAACCAACCCCTGACTTGAAAGCGGAACTGGGTTTCTAGCTGAGCAAAAGGTCGTGATCGACCCGGTTGTAGGTTTGATGGAAAGAGTCATTTCCTTGTTGGTTCTCAGCTATAAACAATCCCCTTTGGCTTCCTATATTCGGGAATCCCCTTCCGGTTCATTTCCCACCCGGTTCGTTTCATTCCCGAAACCAACCGGTCAAAGACCTTCGACCCCGGCCGAACCCACGCCTGCAAGATGGTGTAGGAGGCCACCGTGAGCGTCAGCGTGATGAACTGCAGCTCCGAAAACTCCACCAAGAGCACCTCAGACGCGGACCGCGGCCGCCACTTAGCGGGGTGTCGTGTTCTGATCTGGTGGAAGGATGGATGGAGTGCTAGGTGGATGGGTGGATGGAGTGGAGTGTGGGTAGTGGATCTCCTTCCACTACTTCCGAAGCTTACTGGTGAACCCTTTAGCATTCAAAACGCCTGGGGTTTTCCCGAGGAAGCCTTCCATACATTTGGCTTGGCTTAACCCACAAAGCCTCTTTAAGACCTCCTGTGGACGCTTCCAACGGGCACATTCTTTTTGGGGCTGGTTGATGTAAAATGTGGAACTTCGCCAAAACAACATTGCGTATTGTGCGCACGTCATGATTGGATCATGAGTGGATTGCTCAATGAAAGTGAAAGTACATTGTTTGTCTTGCCGCTGAAATGATCCTGCCAAGAGCCACCCAAAATGACAACTCACCTTAAATCGACCCCAAAAGTCGATGCTTAAAGCCACAAGATTAGAAACCACAGTTCGCCCCGCCGATTTAGTCTTTCCAAAGTGAAGTTAGACATGGAGTGCAGAGTTCCCTTGGCCTCTCCACATACCTTCCAGGCAACTCTGTCGAAAGCCCAACACGCCGAGAAAAAGGCCTTTCGCTTCTGAAGCACATTGCAAGCTATGCAAAAAAAAGCATCCCCAAGGTAGATTTGGATTCATCCTGGTAGTCGTGCGGATCAGGGACTATGAGGGTTTGCCTTTTCAGTGGGGAATTTATTCGACTTTGGTGTGCTTCGTCTGATTCAATGGCCCTCCTCGTTACAATCAGGAGTGAACATTCTCAAAGAAGTAACAATCCTCCCAAAAACCATCCCTCATAAAACGGAGGCGCACACCATCCAAAAAGGGGCCGTCCATTTCAGACCCTAAGAGTGAGACCAGCCCGCCTCCGGCCTATTGTGGCTGCTCCTACCAGCCTCCAAACACACTCCTCTAACACCCAAACAACACAGAACCTTTTATTTATCCAAGATGATCATATCGCACCTTGTTAAAATTTGGGTTCTTGACACGCCAAACACGCCGGGACCTAACATAACCCTAAACAGTCTCTCTGCGGTTGTGGAAAACAGCACCTGCTGCGATGCCAAAGTGGGCCATCCACCGACTAAAATTATCATTTCTCGGTTGCTTCTGCTCCCCTGCCAAAAGTTTAACTTTAAGTAGTTTAATGGGAAACCCATTAGTTGGGCACAAAGTTAATGTCCTAACATCCAAGCGAAATGCACCAACTATTTATTCCCTTGGCCCAAAAAAGGTCCCGATCGCATCGATGCGCCGGGATCAAACCGATCATCAGGTTCCGCAGGTTCAGCACCAGGGCGAAGTAGTAACTCGTCGGGTTGAACCGTGCGAAGATAAAGTTCCTCAGGCAGCTCGGGTTTCCAGCCGACGATTGCACGGCTTAAACCAAGAAACGTGGATGGTATATGTGTTGCCTAAACAATCAATACGTGTTCGAAAAAGACATAACCGTGAAATACATGTTGTAAGAGGTCCATCTCCAATAAAATTAAGCAAACAACAATACACATGTGTTTATGGCTGGTACGCCTTGGTGCTTTGCTACTTGTTGCTTAGCGAGGCTGCAAAAGTTATTGATTCGCTGATTGAAAGGGAACATGAAGGGAAATGGCGACGGCGAACAGTAGAGAGAGCCAAGTCTTTCAGTAAAGATTGCAATCATGTCATGGAAAGCTTAATGTAGCAGTTCCATCTATTTCCCTATGCACAATGTCCCAGACAACCAAACAACCAGGGATCCCTAAGACAAGTGGCCCACGCTAAAAGCTCATGGAATCATGTTCATGGCTGCCAAATGATTCCACAAGTGGAAAGCTGTTTCTCCGCTAAACCCGTTGCCTGTTGGTTCCCTGAATGTGACCCAGGGACTTTTCACCTCCTTTTTGCCCGCGGAGGGTGGCACAGACTCTCAGAGAGTTAGCTTCCAAGTTGCCGCGCCACGGAAGTTCCCAAATTTCCTTTCATTTTTCTGGTGCGTGTCAACATGAAGGGGAAGAACACATGTTGCTTTTCTTGCTTCCCATTAAACGAAAAAGGTCCCCTTCGAAGACAACAACCACAAAAACGCACGCAAGAAGCAGAGTTTGCGTTTTCCACTGAAATTCACGGCTTCCCTTTTCAAGGGTGTCTACACCAAACAATTGGGGGGGGCTTGTTTGCTCCACAGTAGAAAAGGCAAACCATGATAACACCCCACACATTCGTCAAACAACACACACGCCCAACATCAGCCGGGCTTGCCTTTTCTACTGACTGAAACATCTTTGTTTTTCCGTGTGTCCCATTGAACCAACCAGCGCAGGTGCCCCTCCTGCCACCAACATGGCGTTGGAGGATACCTGGAGGATTCCAAGAACCCTCTGCCCAGAGGGTCCCTTGGTACCTTTTAAGGAGCTACTCTAAGGACCCCCTTTTTACCCCCCAAAAGCCCTCCTCATGAGGTACCAAGGGACCCTCCTGGGCTGTCAGGTGCCATGTTGGGCGGGTCGCCCGGGTCGCCGGAAAAAAAAACGCGGACCGCGCCACCAACGACGGATCCCGGGCGCCAGCGCTTCACAAAGTTCACGCCCCCGGGTTTGGCCACGCGGGCCGGGTACTGGATCACCTGGCGGCCCGGTGAGGCCACTGGGCAGGTGGTTGGACTTCTCGTTTGGGGCGTCTTTTTTTGTTGGGAGTTTGGGGGGGAGCCAAAAGGTACGAAGTTCGAAGCGTTTCTTTGCCAATTTTGTTTCATGTTTGCGGGCTGTGAAATAGTATTGGCTAGCCGGCTGAAACCGGTTGCGTCTTCAATCGAGGGGCATGTTTAAACAGCTGGCACTGAGTCATGATCAATACCTGGTATTCGAACCTAACGGTGAATACACGAAAGCCGTGCCGATTTATGATTTGGACACGTTCCTCCTACCAACACCTCCTGGAGATTCATTCTCCGGCCTTTTCCTAGGCGTGTTGGTTTCCTGGTAGTTTTGGGCGTGTTGGGCGTTCCAAGCGACTTCTAGGAGTTTTGTTTGGCCTACCCACAAACCCAAAAGCATTTTTCCGATTTGCGGGCGTTGCGGGGTTTTGCGGGGTTTTGCGGGGTTTTGCGGGCGTTTGAGGGTGTTTGCGGGCGTTTGCAGGCTTTTTGCGGGCGTTTTGCGCGTAATTCCGGGCGGGGACATCGTAACAGGGGCCAATTCTGAAATCTCAACATATAGGAGGTTTAGTAGTTTTAGGCGACTTCACGAAAAAACATCGAGATTCAGGAAGTTCAGGAAAAGCAAGTTAAAGACGAAAACTACCAAGAAAATCCTGGAGACTGAATCTCCCTCTTCTTAATTTCGAATTGACACGTAGTGTCCACTGGCCGGTTTTAAGGGAGGCTGCGGGCTATGGTCATATAGCTCCTACGATAGCAACTGTTTGCGTTCGTCCTGAATCCCCAGTCAAAGGGTGTCACCGAGGCTATTTCGAATTTGGAAACTTCAAAACTTGCTTGTTTTCCTCTGGTGTCGTAAACCACCCACAAAGCGGGCACCATTCCCAAAAAACTTGACCCACTCTCATATGGTTTCACACCCCCAGATGAGCCGCGTCTGCAACCAACTGACATGTGGGGTTTGTGCGGATCGGAACACTCCCCCTTCCATGATAGGGAGCTTCAACTCTCCCTTTTCAGCGGAAATTGTATACCCCTCAAGTGCCTTGGCTGTTGCCCACCCAAACAAAAACATGATGCTGGTCCAGACCTGCTGACCTACCTCAAAAACACTCGATCCGCAAAATGACTCTGGTAATGGAATGACCCTTGAAACGAAAACACACTAACCAGATCCCGTTCTGAGGCTCCCGGCGGCCCAAATGATGAGGCCCATGAAGGTGCACACGCCACCGAAGAACGGCAGCAGACTGAGGCCCACCATAGCCTCACAAGCATCGCGGGGAAGGACAAGCATCTAACTCATCCGGAATGACAGCTGGAATGACAGCTCGAATTGGCTGGGGGCATGTGTCAAACCCGCAAAATGGCAAAAACCGAAAAGTAGCAAATACGAAGTCGACATTCTGCGGTGATTCACTTGCCCGCCCATTTTGGTGCAGCGGCAAGCGTGTGGCATTTGTTTGTAAGCGGTAAACACCGCACGCACCTCCACTGACCAAAGGAGGGAAAATGGAGCACTGTTCCTTACCACTTTGTTTCCCGACTTCGCATATGGCATATTCCTTTCGCACACCAACCCTCAAGCCGCAGATAGTGTCTGAACCTGAAAAGGACAAAACAGGCATCCAAAACAGCAAGCCCCACCTAATGAACCCCCTGCTATAGATCTTCCTGAAGTTCAATCGTCTGAATGCAAAGGGTGTAAGCGGTGTAAGCTACAGATTGTCTGACATTCTGCCACGGGTTTAGCTGCCCGACCATCTTACTGCCGCCGCATCCGTCTGTAAGCAGCGACACCGCACACAGCCCACACTGATCATGTTGCACTCTGTGTGTGTTGGGTCAAGCGCTTTGGTCACAGAAAACTTGTAAGTCTTGTGAAGAGCGTAAGCGTCAGCCCACAGAAGTTGGGGGGATCCGAGTTATCCGATACTGCCAGCGCCCAGAATGTATCTCGGCCATTACCCTGCTACGAAAATGGCATACCCAAACCAATGTAAAGAACAGAGAAATTGGCCGCGCTGAATTCTGGTTGGGACTGTCCCGAAATTCAACTTCCCCGCATTTTGAAACTGTGGCTCACCGGAGGTCTGGGCCAATTGCTGGTGCTCAGGGAATGAGAAATGGAGGGGTCCCCATTCAAACCATCCATCCCCGCTTTGGCTTCCCTTCCAGAACCCCCAAACTTCATTCCAACCACCCGGAACGGGAAAATTCCTCCCTCGGTCCATCTCTATCGCAGCACCCAAAGGCACCAATTCGATGTGGTTAGGGCCCTCAAAGCTGCCAGGTTTCGAGGCCCCCAACCACTCCGGGACGTCGAATGGAGGGGTCGGGTCCATGGAAAGCCCCAGCCGGGTAAGAAATCGAGGTGGCCCTCGGACTCGAAAATCGAAAAATTCGCCGCGCAACGAGGTGGGCGTCGTCCCGCCAGCAGATGACGTTTCGGAAGGAGGCCAGGGACTGCGTGTTGTCCGGGTTGTTCACGCACTGGAACGGCTTCACTGCCAGAAAGGTCAGGGCCTCGGAAAGGAAGAATCACAGGATCTTGGGTTCATACAAATATGAATACATACTATATATATATATATATATGGTGATTCATCTATGTCCGCGTTACGGTTTAATTGTCTATGAACCTTTGAATATCAATATGTACCGATTTCGTCTAGCCCAACTTGATTCGCAGTTATCTATCGAGAAGGGTCGGTTGCACAAGTTTGAAAAGACTAAGCCCAGGCTCTGGTTGAAAGGGAGACTAAAGAACATGGATGAACTATGGATATGAATTATAAGATACCCGAAATGGTGGACATCAAAGTTCGGTGATAAAAGGATCCAACCAACTACTTTTGAGGGGTTCCCAAATAAATTTCGCAGCCACTATGTGTTCGAGACCAGTGAAAAAGACCCCTTTCAAGCTGAAAGGACTGGTGGGCCGGGCTTTTTGTTTTTGCACCCGTCACGGGCCCGATCCCAAAACAAACCCAGCCTAGGGCCTAAACCACCCCAGCCAACCAACCGACCAACCAAAGGCCTGCCTGCCAGGAATCCCTGTGCCAGGCAAAAAGACACAAAAACACGCTTTCTGGAATGGCTCAAACTGATTCAGGAATTCGGGGAAACCAATTCAGGAATTCAGCCAAAGGGAACACCATTTTTGTTTGAGCCACCATTCCGGAAGAGGGCCATTAAGGAAATGGCGGTCCCCTGAATTGGTTTCTTTTTGGCTTCTCAGAAAATCCACGATTATGAGAAATACTCAGCAGGTCCTTACATCGGTAAACAGGGGGGTCAGCCCAACGCTGATTCTTCCCCCCCATATTTGGTGGTGAACCCAAACAGAATTAGACGTATTACAAAACGATCCCAGCGAGAGTCATGGTAAAAGCCGTCCAAAATCCCCTCCATTTCAAAAGCAACAAAGGGACAGTCCCTTCAACAACCCCCAAAACGCCTTTGTATTGTTCCCAACCTTAGGTCTGCCGAAGCATTGGTTGGTCCATTTGGAGATAAGTGCTTGGGCCACGAAGCTGACAAGCACAAGCTGCGCATAAGCAATCTGAACACAAGCCAACTGTAGAGTGTCTCCTTGTGGGTTGCCCTTTTGCGGTTCCATATCAGTGGTTTGCCCTGGAAAAAGGACAAAAGATGACACGAAACCGCCACCCCCCAGATCGACAGAATGATCTACTTTGAAGAGGACACTTGAGAATTCCCCCAGTCACTCACTGGGGGGAAGGGCTCAAAGAAAAGCAACAGGAACCCCGCGATTCCCGGCGGTCTGGATTGGGACATCTCCCTACCGGTTAGTTGGTGGTCCGTTTGATATGGGTCCATAGTGGTTCCAACAAGAAGTCTGGAAAGGGAACGGTCATAGCAGTCGTCATACAATCCCTTACCAATATATATATATATATATATCTGATAAAAAGCCTGTCATGAAGTGGAGGCAAAACAAAGTTGTTTTCTACCGTGGCTTAAATGGAAGCACTGGAAAACCTAAGCCCCCGGCGATGTAGACCGCCTAAGCGAGGCCGCTCGTCCGTCGCAGGTTGTGATTCGTTCAGGAAGTTAGGAGGAAGTTAGGCGGCATGTGCACTGGTCCCAAGGATTCCCAAATCAATGGATTGATTAGTGATAGATGTTCCTGAAAACATGTGAAACCTAAACATCAGAAACCCAGGATCCAGGAATCCTCCCCTAGGATCCTTTTCCTTTTGAACCCTCAAAAGTGGACTGGCCAGAAAACGTCCAAACTTTGGGTTTGCCAAAGTAAACAGTTTGAAGTCCATGAACTCAGGGAAGGCAATGAGTGAAAGCTGGGACTTGGCCAGCTTAAAACCCATCGAAGGCCAAAATAACGCTTTCGCTCCAGGCACCAACCCAAGATGACAACATCCGCTCAAGCCGCGACCCAAGAACATGTACCAGTCACAGGAAACCGCTGATTCAATCCACTGGCACGACAACTTAGGAGGCTTCCAACATTTCCCAGCAGAAGCAAAAGCGCCTTAAGTTGACCCAAGCCAGTCATGTCCTACAACAACGAAAGATAACACGGGAAGCCCTGCGCAACTAAGCAAACATCAGTTTCTGGCGTTGGGCGCGGCATGTCTGATCTGTGCCGACAAATGGATGCGCAATCAGCAAGACTTGTGATCAACCGGCAATAAACAGCATGATGTTCAACTCAATGGGAAGTCAGAAAGCAAACAAACGACAGTTGCGCGGGTCTTTTGTGGAGGGTGCCTTTCAGGCTTTGTTTCGTGTTTCTTGGGGGGGAAGCCCAAGAAAACCGCCGCACCATCTTTGGGGCCCCGAAACACACACATCCAGCACGATTTACACATCTGACATCCGCATCCGAGCTTCTGAGACGATGAGCCCCTGTGCGTTGATGACCTGGTTGAGCGTAACATCCTGAATGGGAGAAGGCGCCGGTGGCTAGGAGTTCATGGGACACACACCTGCAGTGCATTGGCCGGAAGAAATCGACACTTGTTGCTTGCCACATCTCACTTGCTGAGTGGATGGCCCAAAAAAAGCTTAAACTTTATATTTACCACTACAATGGTCCAAACCAAAAAAGTTTAAAGTTCATGAACTGAGGAGGCGAGACACAAATGGTCTTCCCAAAAAAACTCAAGTCAGCTGGTTGCAAGCCTACTATACCTGACAAGCAAACAATAGTTTTGGGTGATTTTGAGGGGAATCCACTGGATGATGTGTATTTGACGCACTGCTTGGTTGAATATGATGGAAAAGTGAAGAAACCCTCTTAAGGCTCTTTGAGATCCAGAGCGGGCAACGTCATTTCCTCACATGCAGACGGCAACGCTCGCTTGAAACTTGTAACCGATTCAACTGAGCCTACAACATCCAGTTTGCTAAAGTAGTGCTCAGATATATGAAATCCATTTACCTTTTCTCTTGGAAAGGGGAGGCGCATGGAAAGGGTGGCAGCAAGTGGTGATGCTGGGGATGTTGCTTGTCCTTCTCTTGGGCTCATTTGGGCTCAAAACCTGCCCATGAGATATTACGGGGGAGCTTCGAACTGCCCTGCATCACCTCTCAGCATCAATGAATGCACTTGGCGGGACCACATTGATTTTTTGGGCAAAGGATGAACACACAGCCTGCACGACGTGAATCCATTGGGAGGGTTTCTTCCCACTCTTGGGAGGGTTTGTTTTGGGTAATGGTTTGCACCAACAGCCATGCTCCATCGCGCACACATTCTCACTGATGCCATTTTCAGGAATTTGAAGGCGAAGCAATGACAATAAATAAGTTTTTTGGAATAATCTACGGTGATGCAAAATTAGAACCATTTGATTTTACATAATTTGATGTGATAGTATTTGATGAAGTTTATCTTAGTAATTTAAGCACATACTGGAGAATAAAACAATTTGTAGAACGGAACAAGCATAATAACATTGCTATTGCAACGGGTGATGCAAAACAATTACGCCCTGTTCAAGAACTGACTAACACACAAAATCACGAAGCATACACAAACACTATTATTAGTAATATATGTGAATTTCATATCAATTTGAAAGAATGTAAGCGACCTAACACTCAGGAAGATAAGGATAAACTGCCAACTCTGGACCAACAGGAAGGGTGTACTGAAATGAGGGTTCAAGTTCGCTTCAAACCGCAAAGACCAGACGTTTGTTCATTGTACTGTGCTTCCGAAGGTCACCTACTCTACTGGTGCACGGATGTGCACGGAAGCGCTGGAAGTGGATGATAACGATTGATTCGCATCCGAGCGGGATCGAGCAACCCGAAGCAGTTCTTCTGACCACCGCACGCGTAACTCATATGGGGTGCTTTTTGGGGCGGCCCCTTGTTTTCTGGATGTTGGTGAGAGGAAATGCAAAGGAAACAAAGCCTGAGGGCTATCCCAAACAGTGGTAACATGACCTTCATGACCAAGACTCTTGCCATGGTACCCTGACATTTGGTGGTATCAATACCCTACCCCAAAGGGGAAAACGAGAACAAACTTTTGAGGGTGCCGAGTCTTTGCTGTTTTTAAAGGGAAACTGAAAGGAATGCAACCTCCCGGAAGAAAAACACAAACCACTCAACAGCAAACCTGGAGACACAGGATATTACGTGCACCGTCCTTCTTGAGCACGTACTTGCCAATGCCGAAAATGAACATCACGCCAGCGGCCCCAATCGGGTACCTCAATCCGGCTGCGAGGCAATGCTCGCATGAGTAAATTCAGGTCCCCCCCCCAAAAAACAAAAGAAGAAACACACAAAAACTAATAAGCAACACGTAAAAGTAACATCAACCACATCCAATCACAAAACCATGGCGCAGAACGTCGAACTGCAGTGCTTTTTGGTTGCTTTGCAATATTCACGGCATCCAGTTGCCACAAGTACCCGTTTGATCTGGGTACTGGGACACCAACGGAAGCCACTAGATTGTCTACCGTGTGTCTGTTCGATGGGAACGCAAGTAACGTCCGAAACCCCTGGAGACGGTTCTACTATCGTTGGAAAGGTGCAAAAGGGCCAGGTGGCTTTACCAAGGTGGTTGTAAAGGTGGTTGCAAATGGATCGACATTGATAATTCATTAAAACATGGGCAAGGAAACCACTCCAGACACGGAAGGGTAGCCTATTTCCAACACCCAATTCCAATGCACATCAGATAGGTAATACGGTAAAGCCCAAGACCTATGGACGATTGGGGTAGGCGACTTTCTAAAAATGCCAACACGCTTTGGGTTCTGCTCAAATAAACACATACGGAATGGAGTTGTATCTAGACTTGGGCCCACCACTGGTTCAGCCCAAGAACTAGTGCTTCAACAGGCTTCCTCCTGGAAACAACAAACAGGCTTCCACCAGTGATACTGTGGATGGACAAAATCCTGCACCACAAACAGTGGTTTCCCATAGTTTCAATCTGGTGCAGGGTTTTGTTCATGCACAGTGGATTCCCCTTAAAACTGACAGGGGAACAAAAAATACAGCGTGGAGGCAAATGGAAGTTTTAAAAAGCAATACGAGCCACGGACAATACTCTGAGCTTTTTTGAAGGGACATGGCAACTCTGGGCAAGTTTGCAGGGAAATATAAAGCAACAACATGTTTGGAGGTCCCCTAATTTGGAAATGCCAAGACAGGATCTTGAACCATGAGCAAGTCATGTCAACTGAGTGGTAGTCTTTTGCTGATTTGGAGAGGATACGGAGTGCAGGAACACAAAAAGGCTACCCTGACAAAAACCCTCCATTCGCGTTGTTGGCCCCTGGAAAAAGCATGCTGAATTCCCAAGTCGTAGATTCCCAAGGAAAGAAAGAACTGAAACCAATCGGGTGAACAGATTCCCTTTTGCGACCTTAAAAACCAACAGAGAAACATACACACATATGGCTGTGGGTCAAAACCCTGTACCCCTGGTAAACATCAAAATAGGTGGTACATGGGTGTTCATCCGCCCCAAAATGGAGGCATAGGTTTTGACCCACAGCCATATGATTAAGATGGAAGCCCGTGCCCCGCACGCTTCGAAGTAAAGGTCCGATCGGAAAGGCGCAGGACCAGCGAGCCCAGGTAGTTCATGATCGGCGTGGTGCTGCCCAACCAGCATCCCGGACGCAGAATCCCGATGTCGAAGGTGAGGAAGGACAGAAATCCGCCTCACTTGGTTGCTGTTGACCCCCCCTGCAACAAGTTTATGTTTGTTGGGGGTTAGTAGAAAACGCCTTGATCTCCCAAAAAGTTGAAGTCTAAAGATCCAACCCAATAGCAGTCAAGCTCAGGTTATAACCTCCTGCAGAAAGACTGTGAGTCTAAGACATCTCAGGTCCTAATGCTATGAATCGATCTCACCTGCAATCAAAACCAGGCAATTACTGTAAGGGGTCTGCCCAAGCCATGCACATGTAAGCCCAGGTAACTATACCTCAGGTCCATGGGGTGTCTTTTTGTTTGGAGGGCACCTTTTTGGGTGTTGCTGCGAAGGGAAACCTGAGTCAAACCCACCCGAGCAGCGCCAGAAACCAAATGAATTGTGCTTGTGCTCACAAGGGTACAACGGCATACACAACTTGCCGCACAATAGCGTCCCACGAAACACTACAGCATCCCATGAAGCCAGGTCATAGAACCACAGGACACCTGTGCCCAAAAAAAACAAGACTCATAGACAAATAGAGATCAAGACCTACAAGTGTGGTAAAACAATGTCATGACCTACAGGAAAAGTCTCAAAGGCCTGTGATACCAACAGGTCCGTTTTTTGTTTTTTTTTTTCCTGGCGGGTACCCTTCTTGGTGTGTGTGTGTGTGTGTGTGTGTGTGTGTGTGTGCGTGTGCGTGTGCGTGTGCGTGTGCGTGTGCGTGTGCGTGTGCGTGTGCGTGTGCGTGTGCGTGTGCGTGTGCGTGTGCGTGTGCGTGCGTGTGCGTGTGCGTGTGCGTGTGCGTGTGCGTGTGCGTGTGCGTGTGCGTGTGCGTGTGCGTGTGCGTGTGCGTGTGCGTGTGCGTGTGCGTGTGTGTGTGTGTGTGTGTGTGTGTGTGTGTGTGTGTGTGTGTGTGTGTGTGTGTGTGTGTGTGTGTGTGTGTGTGTGTGTGTGTGTGTGTGTGTGTGTGTGTGTATGTGTGTGTGTGTGTGTGTTAAGGGGAAACAACCCGGACACGACCTTTGTTGTTTCTTGTTGTTGTTATTTCTTGTCGGGGAGGGAGTTTGCGGGGGTAGGCGGTTGCCATCATTTGGACAGACGCGCGTTAAACACCCCCCGAACATTCAATGTTTAACACAATGGATGTGCAAGGCTGCCAAGTACAAGAGCTGGGTTGGACCATCCCCAACCACTTAGGAGACTTTAACACACCTCACCTGTGCCCAACAAAACATTGAGACTTGATTCGACATGCAACATTGTTGGAAGGCTAAAGTAGCTTTGTGGCAGCATGGGTCTTGCGAACAAACCTGAATCAACTGTCAATGATCATCTTGAAGCATTCACAGGTTTTGTGTAGTTCATCGCCCTACGGTTGATGCCTATCCCCATGACTACAAGTATCACTTGAAAGGGGATGAATAGTGCTTCGAAACACACAACAGCTACCAAGGTCAATGTAGCATGGGGGACACCAAAGGAAACAATTGACCGCTCAGGGACCTGTTACCACAGCTCGTATCATTTGATAATTCTAATTCATCCTAGGCTAATATTCAAAAATGGACAAGCATTTCTACCCACGCGAAAATGGAAAGCCACTTGAATGAAACTAGCAGCCTTTCAACGCCATTGGACGGTTTGGAGGTTGACTAAATGGTGAAACCCCCTTGCCACAAGGCTTGAACCCTTGCCACAAGGCTTGAACAGAGGGTTCAGTACCGGTTACAAAGCACTTAGCGATCCCGCCTGGATCATCATGTTTCCTATCCCGAGTTTGCGGGCCAAACGAGTATGCGTCAGAATCGTGGGACTCCAAGGGCGGCTGTCCTTTTCCCGTGAAACCAACCTGAGAATGGCAAATTGACCTCAAACAAGACATCTTCATATGTGGGAAATTGCTGCCTTTTGACGCTTAATCGTTGCACAACTCCAATCCAGTCTGTGCAAAAGGTCCCTTGGTACCTCCTGAGGGTTTCGGAGCTCTGACAAGCAGCACATGGTTTAATCAAGTGCATGTCCATGTACGCGCGTGGGAGATGTGGAGGCCTACAACACACTAATAACCAATACTGAGCTTGTAAGGCAGAGTTGCAACATCCTCACCTGCAGAACCTGCGCCAGAAAATGGCCTTGATTTAGAGATACCAAGGCACTTTTGGCATGGTCATTGAATGGCTAATGTGATGCACCCGGGTGCGTTTCCCATTAGAGACAACTACTGCACAGCCTTCCCAAGGAGCAGAAGTCGAAAGCATCCCCCGATACTAGATGCTTTAAAGGGGCGCACCGCGAATATTCCTCGCCCTAATGACCATGGGTAACTTGTCCCGTTTAGTGGGGAAAGTATCATCTTGTTTGGTGGTTTCCCAGTGGTCATTCCATGTACGGACCTTTTGATCAACCCCATGTGAGTCATAATCAAAACCCGGTATCAAAATGGCATACCCAGAACCATGCGAAGAATTAAGAAGCCGGAATTCCGCAGCTACTTATGGTTGGGATTGTGCCTTACAAACCTTCATCTACCCGGGTTTTGAGCAAGTGGCTCATGTTGAGAACCCAACATGCAAACCACTTAGGTCCCAGTTCACCCGGAAATGCCAGTTGAGGCGCGGAGAGTCTTGAGCGGCTCCACCCACACCACCTCCACCTCGGCCACGCGAGGGACTTGCTGGGCCCAAACCAAGCTCGAAAATTGGAAAGGTCCTCTAAACTAAAACATATGGCTGTGGGTAAAAAAATCCCCATCTCCACCAAAATAGACTAAAATGGGTGGTGCACCTACCCCAAAAGGGTACCATTGGTTTTGACCCACAGCCATATGGGTGTGGGTCAATATTCTGGTGTGGAACGTTCCGCGGTGACGCGGACGTCTGGAACGAGTCAGTTACGTAAGGCTGGTTGTTCCGGACCTCTGGGAAGACATGTGTGGAGTCCTCAAGCACACGTGAGCGAGAGGCAAAACCTAAGACCACTTTGGGCGGGGGCTTCGCTATATCGTTCTGCAATGTTTCAGACACTGGTGTGTTTATGTCAAGGAAGGGTGGAAGGGGGAAAGAGAAAGAATGGAGGAAGAGAGCAGAGGAAGAGAAACTGGGAGGAAGAGAAAGCAGGAGGAGAAAGGACGAAGGGAAGAAGGATGGGGAGGAAGGGATAAAGGAATCCAGGGAGTAAGGGAGCAAGGAAGGATGGGGCAAGGGAAAAAGGAGGGTGGAAGGGAAGGGAGGAAGAGGAAGGGAGGAAGAGGAAGGGAGGAAGAGGAAGGGAGGAAGAGGAAGGGAGGAAGAGGAAGGGAGGCAGGGCAGAAGAGGAAGGGAGGCAGGGCAGAAGAAGAAGGAAGGGAGCAAGGGAAGAAGGCAGGAAGGCAGGAAGGCAGGAAGGCAGGAAGGCAGGAAGGCAGCAAGGCAGGAAGGCAGGAAGGCAGGAAGGCAGGAAGGGTGTAGATGCTGCGCCTCCCCACAAGCTCCATGACATGCTTTTTGACGCTGGTTCCAGACCGCCCACAAGCATGGGAGGTGGAGGTGCCCACACGCTGACCACCACTGATTGATGGGTAAGCGGTGGCCCGCCTTTTGTGCTTTCCGGGTGTCGTTGAGGTATCGTTCAGAGTATCGTTCAGACAGCCCTCCAAAACCAGAAAATGCTGCCCATATTCTCTCAGTCCAGGGCATGTGCAAAAACCAGCTACACGTTGCGCGCGTCCTCGCAGCCCGGACTGGTCCGGTCACTTGGCAGTTGCAAGCGAGACTTATAAACAACTTGAAGCACAGCAGCACCATGCGAGCACGAGGGGTGTGGTTTCGGTGTCGTTTTGGGTATCGTTTTGAGCAAGCAGAGTTCACACTCCCCGAATGATCCGAGAAGGTGTTTTCGACGCTCCAAAATAACTTTTGGGTATGGTTTGGCGTGCCGACTGTGGCGCCTGCGGGTGCAAGCAAGAAGCATGAGCAGTATAGGAAGGAGAGCAATCGGTGGCCCAGAATGCAGTTCACACTCTTCGAATGATCCGAAAAGGTGTTTTCGACGCTCCAAAATTACTTTTGGGTATGGTTTGGCATGCCGACTGTGGCGCCTGCGGGTGCAAGCAAGAAGCATGAGCAGTAAGAAGGAGAGCACTCGGTGGCCCAGGACCGTGGCGCCTGCGGGCAAGCAAGAAGCGAGAGCAGTAGGAAGGAGAGCAATCGGTGGCCCAGAATGCAGTTCACACCCCCCGAATGATCCGAAAAGGTGTTTTCGACGCTCTAAAATTACTTTTGGGTACGGTTTGGCGCGCCGACTGTGGCGCCTGCGGGTGCAAGCAAGAAGCATGAGCAGTAGGAAGGAGAGCAATCGGTGGCCCAGAATGCAGCACTCCCGAGTGATCCGAAAAGGTGTTTTCGAGCTCCAAAATAACTTTTGGGTATGGTTTGGCGTGCCGGCTGTGGCGCCTGCGGGTGCAAGCAAGAAGCATGAGCAGTAGGAAGGAGAGCAATCGGTGGCCCAGAATGCAGTTCACACTTCCCAAGTGATCCGAAAAGGTGTTTTCGACGCTCCAAAATTACTTTTGGGTATGGTTTGGCATGCCGACTGTGGCGCCTGCGGGTGCAAGCAAGAAGCATGAGCAGTAGGAAGGAGAGCAATCGGTGGCCCAGAATGCAGTTCACACCCCCTGAATGATCCGAAAAGGTGTGGCGCCTGCGGGTGCAAGCAAGAAGCATGAGCAGTAGGAAGGAGAGCAATCGGTGGCCCAGAATGCAGCACTCTCCGAGTGATCCGAAAAGCTCCAAAATAACTTTTGGGTATGGTTTGGCGTGCCGGCTGTGGCGCCTGCGGGTGCAAGCAAGAAGCATGAGCAGTAGGAAGGAGCGGTGGCCCAGAATGCAGTTCACACTTCCCAAGTGATCCGAAAAGGTGTTTCCGACGCTCCAAAATTACTTTTGGGTATGGTTTGGCATGCCGACTGTGGCGCCTGCGGGTGCAAGCAAGAAGCATGAGCAGTAGGAAGGAGACCAGAATGCAGTTCACACCCCACAAATGATCCGAAAAGGTGTTTTCGACGCTCCAAAATTACTTTTGGGCATGGTTTGGCCCTTCCAGCAACCTCCGAATAGCAAGGCGGGGAACGCAGTTTTGAATAACAAGCCGGGGAGTGTAGCTTTGGTCAAAAGCACCCAATAGGCGCATCTTGAGTGTCCAGTGGCTTGTGGGCATGGTTTGGCTGGCTTGTGGGTATGGTTTTGCCCTTCCGGCAACCACAAAAACAAGGCGTGCAGTTCCAGAACCCAAAGACCAACCCCGCCTTGATAAAGTGATCGACGCATATTTTGACCGTGACTCATGAGCCAGCGTCAATATTTGCTGTGTGGGCTGTATTCATTCTACTTTAAACGAGTCCCCTATGGTTCTCCGCGTTTCGCGCGTGGGTGCAGTGCCCGAAGAACCCTCTGTTCGGGTCTCGCGAGCGCGCAAAGCGCCCAATGAACCCTCTGCGAGGATTGCGCGTGTCAAAGCGCCCTCCCTGCGACGCCGTGCGGATTTGGAAAGTGCCCGGCGAACCCCCTGCAGTGAGCAATTTCTGCGGCAGCATCGGGCTCTTCTCCAAAGCCTTCCGGATCACAGATCTGCATCCATATCCTGCCGCAGCAGATCTCTGAGGAGCAAGCGCAAGCCCGCCAAGGCGTTGCCTGGCCCGTTGCGGGCCCTTTGTGTGCGCGGAAGGATGTGCGCTGAAGGAGCTGCGCGTGTGGTTGAAAAAGCAAACGCACTAGGTAGGCCTCACGTTGGCTGCTCCGGGACGTTCTCGGAGTATCGATGGGGTGTCGTCTTGGGTATCGTTCTGGGCGCGTGTAGTGTCACGAAAAAAACAAACTTGCTATAAGCCAGAGCCAAGCAAGCGCACAAGAGCCTTCTCTACCTTGCGGTAGTCATGTGATCAGCGGACTAGACTATGCTTCTGGCTCCCAAGCATTGGCGGCTTTGCTTGCTGGCTGCAACTTCCAGGTCGCAAGTCGCAACTTTCAGTACCAGCGCAGTACGCAAGTTACACTTTGGCAGCTCCAGCTCGAAGGTCGCAGCGCGCGCCGGTGCCTGCGGGCGCCTGTGCGTGTGCGTGTGCGCGGGTGCGTTAGCGATCCATCTGGGTGGGCCCATCTCGTGCACACATGTGCTCACCATGCATTGCCGAGGAGCATTGACAGGAGCTGTCATGGCAACTTACAGCTTGGGGCAAAAAAAGGCTCACACAGTGCAAAATAGAAGCGCGAAGCGCCAGTTGCACGTCACGCGACGTTATCGTTTTTGGGGCTTCGCTATATCGTTCCTGAGGAAAAATACAAAACAAGCAACGCGAAATCGCCGAAGACATATTTTATGACGAGAGAGTTTAGCCTTTTGCTCGTTCATTTAGTGTAAGATGGATAGATGGATGGATGAATGAACGAATGGGTAGATGGATGGATGAAGCGGCCGTACGATACGGCACCTCCTTGAAGGCTTCTTCGGCGGCATGGCGGGCCGCGTAAGAAGCGTAGCTACTGTGCATGTGGACTTGGTGGCAAATTGCTCCGCTGTGTCTGGAACACGTCTGGAACGGGTCTGGAACGGGGTCTGGAACGGTTACGCGAGTGGCTTGCGCTTGGTAGCAAGCTGCGTGTAAACATGGTCGTTTCAACAATGTGACGACCGGGAGCGGTATCGAACCGTTACCGTATCGTATCATCGTATCGAACAGACCCTGAGCATCAAATTTTGATCCTAATCAATCTTTTGATTTTGAAAACGATTTTGATTTGAAATCAATATAAAATAATTGATTCTGTCGTTTTCGCGATCAATCTGAGGGCATGTGTTTTCAAGGCAGAAATTCAATGCAAAAATCAAACCAACAAAGCTATACTTTTCATAGGCAAAATCAATCTGAAAATCAATATGAAAATCAATATCCAAATCAATATCCAAATCAATATCCAAATCAATATCCAAATCAATATCCGAATCAATATCAGAACATGAAGAAACTCATTTGATATCTATATGTCTCTTTTTCCAATCTTTCTCCAGGTATTTTGCAGAACTCCAGGCTCCTTTCTCAAGGGGATTCACTTTCCTTTCTCAAGGAGGTTTACTCAAACTGTCTTTGCAGGCTCCTCTCAAACGGATTCACTTTCCTTTCTCAAGGAGGTTTACTCAAACTGTCTTTGCAGGCTCCTCTCAAGGGGATTCACTCTCCTTTCTCAAGGAGGTTTACTCAAACTGCCTTTGGCACAGCTCGAACCCTTCCCTTGTCAGCAGGAGATCTAGCAGAAGCTTGTACTTAGGGCAAACTTTCTGAGAAATTTTGGTCGACCTCACTCCCATGCTCACTGAGTGCGCAAGCAGAGCCATTTTCCCCACGAAATCTTCGCAAGAAAAGCACCAGTGCGCCCTGGGGTTCAAGTACTTGCTGTTCTCAACCAAGTGTTGGAAGGTGTGAAATTTAAAAACAATATGGAATAATTTTCTATTTGCTTCTGCTGCCCATTCGTGGAGCTGCGCGTATGTGTCCAAGAACCCTTTTGCAAGGGCGCATGCTTGCTTCCAGGCATTCGAAGACAAAAACATTCCTGAGTCATCAAACAATGCGATGAGGTCACACATGCTTTGCAAGGCCCTTAGCATGGCAGCTTCATGCTC